TGGATCTGTCTAGACAATGGGATGCTGGACTGTCTGACGCTGTCTGTGCCAGCAATGTCGGGGCACACTTAAATAGCACACTGATGGAATGGTAACTCCTTATGAAGAGTTGTGACATTATGGGAAAAATCAAGGGGGCGGGAATTGGGGAGCGGGAAATCCAAGACTATACAAAATTGTACAATAAATTTCAAAAATAAAAAATAAAGAACAAAAAATAAACAAACAAAAAGAAGCAGGTATCCCATATGAGAAAGCAGGTTCAAATCCTGGCTGCTCCACTTCTGATCCAGCATCTTGCTAATGCTCATGAGAAGGCAGCAAAGAGTGGCCCAAGTCCCTGGGCTCCTGTAACCAAATGGGAGACCAGACGAAGCCCTCAACTCCTGCCTTCAACCTGGCCCAATTCTGGCTGCCGTGGCAATGGGAGCAGTGACCTCGCAGACGAAAGGTCTCCCTTCTCTCCCTCTTTCTATCACCCGCTTTTCAAGTTAACTAATTGATTTTTTTTTAAGATTTATTTTTAGGGCCCGGCGCGGTGGCGCAAGTGATTAAAGGTCCTCGCCTTGCATGCCCGGGATCCCATATGGGCGCCGGTTCTAATCCCGGCAGCCCCGCTTCCCTTCCAGCTCCCTGCCTGTGGCCTGGGAAAGCAGTTGAGGATGGCCCAAAGCTTTGGGAACCTGCACCCGCGTGGGAGACCCGGAAGAGGCTCCTGGCATCGGATGGGCGAAGTATCGACCGTTGCGCTCACTTGGGGAGTGAAGATCTTCCTCTCTGTCTCTCCTCTCTGTATATCTGCCTTTCCAATAAAAAAAAAATAATAAAAATAAAAATAAAAATAAAATAATAAAAATAAAGATTTATTTATTTTTTTTTTATTGGAAAGGCAGATATACAGAGAGGAGAGACAGAGAGGAAGATCTTCCGTCCCATGATTCACTCCCCAAGTGAGCGCAACGGCCGATGCTATGCCGATCCAAAGCCAGGAGCCTCTTCTGGGTCTCCCACGCGGGTGCAGGGTCCCAAAGCTTTGGGCCGTCCTCAACTGCTCTCCCAGGCCACAGGCAGGGAGCTGGAAGGGAAGCGGGGCTGCTGGGATAGAACCGGCACCCATATGGGATCCCAGGCGTGCAAGGTGAGGACCTTAACCACTTGCACCACTGCGCCGGGCCCAACTAATTGATTTTTAAGTGATTTATTTTGGCACCAAAATCGACAGAAATCCATGCATAGTTAGTTCAGTACAGGAATTCTCATTAACTTTTGGAAAACTTGGGCTATTTGTTGCTGTTGTTGCACCAAAAGAAAATTGATCTCACAGGGGCCCAGTACAATAGCTCAATAGCTAAGTCCTTACCTTGCAAGCATGAGGATCCTACAAAGGTGCCGGTTCATGTTCTGACTGCTCCCTGCTTGTGGCCTGGGAAAGCAATAGAGGACGGCCCAAAGCCTTGGGACCCTGCACCCGCGTGGGAAGAAGCTTCTGGCTCCTGGCTCTGGGCTTTAGATCGGTTCAGCATTAGTCGTTGTGGCCCTTTATGGGGAGTGAGCCAGTGGATGGAAGATCTTTCTCTTTGCCTCTCTGTAAATCTGACTTCCCCCCCCCCAAAAAAAAGTAAATAAATCTTTTTAAAAAAATACATTCAACTTGTTATGGCCCTTTAGAAGCAGCCCCTATGCTTAGCTCATGTCAGCCTTCTAGCCATCCTAAAGACTCATAGATTAAAAGTCCCCTTGGACCCTCGGAAAAGGAAGGCATGGCACCACAGCTGAGGGTCCATTTGAAGAGCAAAGCTGTGCTTTTCCCTCCGCCCAGCAGGGCAGGAAGCTTGAGCGGCAGATGTACTGGATCCCATAGCATTCCTAACTCCCTACTCGGGCACCTACCTCTGTCTGCAGCCTTCACACTCCACACACCCTGCAAACACTCCCCGTGCCCCCAGCCACACTCCAGTCCGCACAGACGGCCAGCTCTCAACCCTCGCGGACTTTCTTTACGCTGGTGGCCGCCTGTGCCAGTAGCAGTACACGCATCCATCCTCTCTCCAGCGTCTACCATAAGCCTAGCTGGCTCCCCTATCCTTGTTTCCCAGACCCAGCTGCCAATGGCACCTCCTCCCGGAAGCCTCCCTCCCTGCACGCAGTGAGATATTTTACCTGCCCTACTGACAGCTGCTCCTGCAGGGGTACCTAGTGCAGGTCACGTGAGCACCACTACATAGCTCACGACCAGGACAGAGCTGCTGAACGAGACCCCTTCTTTCCTCTCAAATCTTTGGCTGTCCCCACCCCCATCTGCTCTTCTTACCGGGAACCTCTGGTCTCATCCCAAAGGGCCTGAGGTTTGTGGCCCAGTGGGTTAAGCTGTAGCTTGCAACACCTGCCTGCACTATGGGAGTGCAAGAGTTAACGGGCAGCCCAAAAAGGATGAAGAGGAAAAAGGCCTTGGCCTGAGGGAGGTCACTGGGCATGGGCACAGCCCCCCCACACCCGCCCCAGAGTCAATGGCAGCTGCTGACATCAACAGCCGCGTTAGGCGGGTGGAGCACCACCCCCCTTCTGAAAATGGCTGCAATCCAGAGGCTGGCAACAGCAGGACCTTGAAAGTTATCTGCATGGTTCACAGCATCTTTCCACCCCCTCCCAAGAGAAGGCTCACAGGGCACACGTGTGCATCTCGGAGCACGTGGACCCCACGGGTGGCCCTGGGCAGCTGGCACAGTCCTGGCGCCCAGCACGTTGATCCTGTGCATGGGGCCTGAGCACAGGGGACTGACCACAAGCACTAAAAGGCCTTCCCCTCATTGTCTTCCCAGAGCTCAATACAGTGCCCACACACAGCTTTTCCAACTCAAAATGTCGTCCACCTTGCCAGCCACCTAGAACTCCAGCATCCTGTACTGGTACTGGTTCATATCCCAGTTGCTCCACTTCTGACCCAGCTCCCTGCTGATGGTCTGGCAAAAGCAGCAGAAGATGGCCCAAGTGCTTAGGAGACCTGGATGAAGCTCCTGGCTCCTGGCTTCAGCTTGGTCCAGTCCTGGCTGCTGCTGCCATTTGGGGACTAAACTGGCAGATGGAAACTGTCTCTGTCTCCCGAATAAATTAATAAAGAATAATAAATCTTTAAAAAGAATCCCTGAAGCCAGAGTATCGAGTGAGGCCCCGAGGCAAGAGAACAAGTCATTCTTGCAGCTTGGGGTGTCCAAGGAGGAGGAGGAGGAGGGACTGTGGCCAGGACAGGACAGGGGTGCCTCCACGCAGCTGCTGCTCCCAGGACCCCTCTCCTGCTCTGTGCCCCCGGCTCTGAGTAGACCCTGCTCCTTCCTGTTAGGAGGGGCTGCTGTGCTCACCTGACCCAGGGTCTTAGGCCTTCCCCCTGCCCATGAGCCATGGCGACGGGTCATGGAAGGCTGGGGCGTGGGCAGGAGCCTTATACCCCCTGTCCCCCACGCTTCTCTCCAGGGGAACCCAGCTTCAGAACAGCCTCAAGGACACCTTGAGAGGGAAGGATGTGTTCAGATCCCAGCGTTCACCTCCCACACCGTGTTGGGACAGCAGAGCTGACTTAGCCTCACCTGGACCTCACTGAGCTCCCGGAAGTGTCCAAACACCTTCCTGTCTCCCCGTCTTCCTGCACCTGCCAAGTCCCATGACGCAGCACCAGCTCTGATAGAGGCCGTTTCTATGAGCGGATGAGCAAACCCACGAGCAGCTGAACATGCTCAGGCAGCAATGGGGTGCAGGAGGAACCCCAGAACATGTCCTGAAGGCCAGAGATCTGTGTTAATGTCCTGCCACTGAGCAGCTGTCAGTCCTTGAAGAGTCATTTACGTTCTGGGGACTCTTGGGGTTCCTCAGTCTGTGATAGCAGAGGCCAAGCGGCTTCTCACAGTGTGGGATCACTGAGCTCATGCCTGCCACTTGCCTGCACCACAGACACCTGGAGACTTTGGTTTTTTTAAAGCTTTATTTATGGGCCTGGTGTGGTGGCCTAGTGGCTAAAGTCCTTGCCTTGCATGTGCGAAGATCCTATGTGGATGCCAGTTCATATCTCAGCTGCTCCACTTCCTTCCAGCTCCCTGCTTGTGGCCTGGGAAAGCAGTTGAGGATGGCCCAAGCCTTGGGACCCTGCACCTGTGTGGGAGACCTGGAAGAGGCTCATGATTCCTGATTCAGATCCGCTCAGCTCCGGCTGTTGTGACCACTTGGGGAGTGAACCAGTGGATGAAGATCTCTGTCTCCCCTCTGTAAATCTGACTTTCCAATAAAAATAAATAATGTATTTGAAAGGCAGAGTTACAGAGAGCAGGTAGGGAGACAGATCTTTCAACCGCTGGTTCACTACCCAAATAGCTCTGCAAAGGCCAAGCCAGACGTGGGCCAGGCCGAAGCCAGGAGCCAGGAACTGCATCCAGGTCTCCCATGTAGGAGGCACTGGGTCATCTTCCACACTAGCAAGGAGCCAGGACTCAAACTGTGCTCACTTGGGATGCTGAGGCTGGGGGCAGAGGCTTAAGCCACAGTACCACAGCACGGCCAGGGACTTTTATTTTTGGGAGATGTAGGTTTCTGAGCCTCAATTCCAGACCTGTTAAAGCCAGGATGTCAGACTGCTGGAAGCCTTACGTGTGCATTGCTGCTGCCTGCGACCAGGCTTCTCTCCCCTCCATCTGCTTGGTCTGGCCTGGCTCCCTCCCCCTGCCCCCGCCCCAACTGAAAAGTGGCCAGAGCAGCCTCGTGTGGCAATCGCTCCATCCTTGACCCCTTCCTCTGCGTGGTGAGTGATGGTTTTGTTATCTCTCCCTGATGAAGCATAGCCTTCAGCGAGGGGCATTTAAGTTTCAGAGGGAGCGGCAGCCGGTGCCACAGCTGCAGGATCCAGAGGTGGGCCTGGAAGGGCTCAAAAGGGACGGAGCAGCCACCCTTGAGAGACAGCGAGAGAGCAGAGGTGGTGGCAGAGCAGGAGGCGGCACTGCCACATCTGGCGGCTGAGGATGCTGTTGGCGACGTTCAAGCTGTGTGCTGGGAGTTCCTACAGACACGTGCGCAACATGAAGGGTGAGCTCTTCCCCGTCCCGACCCCGACCCCAGGCTGCTGCAAGGCTTAGCAAGGGAGAGGGAAGGGGATCGGGATCAGGCCCCAGGGGCCCTGTCCAGGTGTGTGTCTACCTGGTGAACTTGGGCAACTGCCTTCCCCTCTGACTTCTGTGTGGCTATCTGGAGGTTCAGGCTGGCTCCTGCCACGATGCCTATGTCCCTGCCAGTCTCTGATTGCTCATTTCCCAAAGAGCGTGTACCTGGGGCACCAGGGAGGAGATTAGCCTTGACTCGGGACAGCGTTGGCAAGCTGGAGAGAAGAGTGGGAAACGGCACAGGAGCAAGGTAAAGAGAGAAGCCAGCATGGCGAGGGAGTCGGCTTGCTTGCTTGTTTCCCTTAAATTTACTGATTGCTTGGAAAGGTAATTATAAGGCCTGATACAATGGCTCGATGGTTAAGTCTTCACCTTGAAAGCGATCCCATATGGGTGCTGGTTCATGTCCCAGCTGCTCCAATTCCAACCCAGCTCTCTGCTTATGGATTGGGAAAGCGACAGAGGATGGCCCAAAGCTTTGGGATCTGGCACCCATATGCGAGACCCAGAAGAAGCTCCTAGCTTTGGACCTGTTTAGGTCCAGCCATTGTAGCCATTTGAGAAGTGAACCAGCAGATGGAAGCTCACTCTTTAAAAAAAAAAAAAAAAACAGGTTTATTTATTTTTATTGGAAAGACAGATTTTACAGAGAAAAGGAGATACAGAAAGATCTGCTGGTTCACTCTCCAAGCAATCACAGCTGAGCCGATCTGAAGCCAAGAGCCAGGAGCTTATTCTGGATACGGTACAGGGTCCTAAGATTTTGGGTCATCCTCTACTGCTCTCCCAGGTCACAAGCAGGGAGCTGGATAAGAAGTGGAGCAGGTGGGACATGAACCAGCGCCCATTTGGAATTTCAGCACTTGCTAAAAGAGAAAAAGCAAGGGTTAATGCTTTTGTTGCTTCTATATGTTGCTTGGCAAGATAAGAAACAAGAGGAAGGCTGTGACAGGCCCGGGCTGCGGGAAGGGGGTCTGGGTTTCTGTTTCCTAACAAGCAAGTTCCTTATCCTGAGAAACGAGCCCAGAAAGTCCTGGGTTGGCGTCAGAGTAAGGCCATAAAACTTAAGACCTGTCACAAAAATATGCTAAGCTTGTAGTGTGTGCCTATAAGATGCCTGTATTCCCGGAGTTCGGGGCTTCTCTCCCCTGTAGGGTAGGGGCCCGTTCGCGAACATCAATAAAGTCTTCTTGCTACTTGCAGCCTCTGACCTGGTTCTTGGGTACTGGGGGGCTACTCCTGGGGTCCGTGACCGTTGGGCCCCCCAGGGTTTAACATTGCAAAGTGAGGAGTTAGACACTGAGTCATCGTACCGGGTCCAGATCTTTCTATCTCTGTATTAGATTATTTCTATCTCTCTATTAGATTATCTCTGTAAATCTAATCTGCCTTTGCAATAAAATTTAGAAGAAATTTTTTTAAAGGGGACAGTTGTAGAGGGAGGAGGAGAGAGAGAGAGTCAGAAAGAGACTAATTTCCCAACTTCCATCTGCTGGTCCACTCCCTAAACAGCTGCACTGACCAGGGCTGGACCAAGCAGGAGCCTTGAGCTCCTTCTGGGTCTCCCATGTGGGGGGCAGGTGCCTTAAGAACTTGGACCATTTTCTGCTGCTTTCCCGGATACATTAGTTGGAATTAGCATCAGAGATGGAGCAGCTGAGACTTGACCTGGAGCCCCTACAGAATGCCTGAATCTCAGACAGCGGTTTCACTTGGGCTGATTCACACAGCTGGCCACAGGAGAGGCAGGAAGGGGTGTGCACTGAGCCTCCGGGCACACACCGTGGTAGATGATAGAGATACCGCTGAAGACTGCACACCCTGCCAGGACAGGGCCCTCCCAGGTGCACTGGGCTGACCTAGCTGCTACTGAGCCACAAGCCACGCCTTCAAGACCTGTGGCAAGCAGCCGGTTGTTCCTCGCTAAGAAACTGCCGGCCCCTCTGAGCTCAGAATCCAGCGGCTTTACCGGCACGAAGGACCTGTGCAAAGGGTCGGGCTGCAGACCTTAGGGGATGGGGTTTGCCTTCTTTCTTTTTTATTTCTTAAAAAGATTTATTTGTTGGAAAGGTAGAGTTAGAGACAGACAGATAGACAGGGACCGACAGAGAGAAACATACTTCTGTCCCCAGATGGTCCCAACCGCTGGGGCTGGGCCAGGAGAAGCCAGGAGCCTTGAAGTCCATCAGGATCTCTCACGTAGGTAGCAGGGCCCTGGCACCTGGGCCATCTTCCCCTGCTCTGCACCCATATGGGATGTCAGCCCCACCTTTCTTTCGGAAGGTCTATTTGAAAGGCAGAGTGACATACAGAGACGTTTTCCCCCTCATTCAGAATGGCCTCAAACATCCGGACCAGAGCCAGGAGTCTGGATGTCCTTTTGGGCTCCCATGTTTGTGTATGGCTATCTCGAAATCTTGAGCCATCCTCGGCTCCTTCCCTGGCGCGTTAGTAGGGAACAGCCATGCCTTGAATGGCTGATATGCGATGCCAGAGTGGCTCTACCCACTGCCCAAGCACACCGGCCCTCCAGGAGGGCTTGCCTCTACTCTGCTTCTGCAGTGAGCTTTCTGGCCCTGAAACACCCACCAGCAGGGGCAGATGCAGACTCTGTCCTCCAGGCAGGGTCAATTCCCGATTACCCCAGCCAGAAGGTACTGTGCTGGTAACCCGGGGAAGAGTTACCAGGGCTGGGAAGTGAATGCCTTACTTTCTCCAGTCCCTAGCAGGAATTTCTGTACCTGAGCAAACTGTGTCCTGCAGGCCAGTTCCCTATCTCTGAACTTTCCTTCCATCTGGACAGGACTGAGGCAGCAGGCGGTGCTGGCCATCAGCCAAGAGCTGAACCGCAGGGCCCTGGGGGGCCCGACCCCCAGTGCGTGGATTAACCAGGTTCGCCGTCGGAGCTCTCTACTTGGTGAGTGTGTGGGGGCCAGCCGATGTGGGGTGGGTGTGAAAGCTCAGGCCCCCGCTTCCTGCCCTTTCTCGCTTTGCCAGAGTCCCACCCTGCTACCGACCTGCGGGCCCATGCATGCCCTGGGAGGAAAAGGCAGGCTGCACCATCGCAGGGGTGGACGCTGGCGGGAGACCCATGGGCCAGGGAGAACACGCGCTCTCTCCTGGGTTGTACATCCAGGTTCGCGGCTGGAAGAGACCCTGTACAGTGACCAGGAGCTGGCCTACATCAAACAGGGAGAGGAGGCCATGCAGAAAGCCCTGGGCATCCTCAGTAGCCAGGACGGCTGGAAGGAGGAGAACCAGCAGGTAAGAGTATGCATGCTCAATGTTGCCTGTCCTCAGGTGTTCCTGTGTGGGGTCAGTGTTCCTGGAAATTCCTTCCTTATTTGGGCATTGTAAGAAGCATTATTCCTGGAACTGGTGCCATGGCACATCAAGCTAAACCTCTGATGACAGCACCACTCCTGATCCAACCCCTGCTAATACCCTGGGAAAGCAGCAGATGGTCCAAGTGCTTGGGACTCTACTTATGTGGGAAACCCAGACAAAGCCCCCGGTTCCAGGTTTTAGCCTGGCCCAGCCCCACCGTTCACCCAGGGAACAAGAGGCCTGGAGCGGCAGGTCCCTCTTGCATCTTAGCAGTGCAGCCGCCTTACCTGGCTCCCGGCAGGGCAGGCTTCCCTGCACTTGGCTAGATGTTCTCTTGTTCCCTTCCCTCTTGCCTCGTCCTGCCTCTGAGATTTTATCTAGGAATGCTGCTGTTGTCCTTCGACAGGCAAACGGGGACAAAGTGCTGAGCAAAGTGGTGCCGGAGGTGGGCAAGGTGTTCCGACTGGAAGTGGTGTTGGATCAGCCCATGGACAGGCTGTACGAAGAGCTGGTGGAGCGCATGGAGGCCATGGGGGAGTGGAACCCCACTGTTAAGGAAGTGAAGGTGAGGAGCAAGGTCAGGGTGTGTGTGAGGGGAGGGGGGACAGGAGAACCTGACCCTCATCATCACTCCACAGCCACCTACGGGTGGGGCTCGGCCCTAGCGCTGCTGAATGCTTCCCGTGATGCTTGGCCAGGTCCTGCAGAAGATTGGGAGAGACACGGTCATCACCCATGAGCTGGCTGCGGAGGCAGCAGGAAACCTCGTGGGTCCCCGGGACTTCGTGAGCGTGCGCTGTACCAAGCGCCGGGGCTCCACCTGCGTGTTGGCTGGTATGGCCACCCACTTCGGGGAGATGCCGGAGCAGAAAGGTGTCATCAGGTAAGGCTGGTGGCAGAGGCCCAACACCTTCTTCTTGGCTACCAGAGTCCCACTGTTCCAAAGCCAGAGAGCCTGCCAGATGAGATAGTCCAGTCCCTTCCCAGAAAGCCTTCGATACCTCCTGAGGCAAGCCTCAAGGGCTGAGGTTCAGTCCCCAGGTGTGGGAGCAGTATAATTGAGTGACCCAAGCAAACCAGCCCCAGCATGGATCTACCCCTCCAACCCAGTGACCCCGGGCTCCAGGTTGCACAAGTGCTTGGGACTCAAGTGACATTTGTCTTGAGCTGGTCCAGTGACAATCTTAAAATACTGCCCTCAGGAAAGGGTGCGTCCCCCATGCAGTTTAGGGAACAAAGTACTTGGAGGATGTGGCTGGTGGAAGTTACCAGTGAGAGTTCTCTGAACTGCCCCGACCATCCACTTTCTTCCTCCACCAGGGCTGAACACGGGCCCACCTGCATGGTGCTTCACCCGCTGGCTGGAAATCCCTTACAGACCAAACTCACCTGGCTGCTCAGTATCGACCTCAAGGTGAGAGGTGCAGGACGTGACCAAGGGGGGGGGGTGGGGAGCTCTTCTTCCCCTAGGCACAGGGGACAGGACCACAAGGGGTTGGGCAGGAAGGGAGCTGGCACAATGGCGTGCAATCCCAGCATCCCAGTGGCTGGCACCAGCTCCCTCTTAGTCCTTGAATCACCTTCAAGCCAGCCCTGTAGTTAACATTTCACAGAGACGGGACCTTGGTGTGAGAGGGGACATGGAGCTAGTTCAGGGTCGTGCAGTTGGGCAGACACAGCTGCAGTCTGTTGTGACACTTCGGGCTCTTGACCCCGGCCAACCCCATGGCTACACCTATTAACAAAGCTGGGTAGCTAAGCATGGAGGTCTCCCAGCCTCCATCCCGTGGCCAACTTCTATTCTCTGCTGCAGGGGTGGCTGCCGAAGACCATCATCAACCAGGTCCTGTCTCAGACGCAGGTGGACTTCGCCAACCACCTGCGCAAGCGTCTCGCGTCCAGCTCGGCCTGAGGCAGGGGTGGAAGGCCACCTGCCGCTCCCCGCCTTAGCGAAGCAGCCGGAGGCCCCTGCGGCCAGCCAGGTGGCCTAGGCCCGTTCAGGATTTGCATTCAGAGGGCAGTGAGATGGGACTGTGTAAAGTGGGACGTCAGGATTCAAACTGGTCCAAGTCTAGGTACCAAGTTTCTAACTTTGAGGACAAGAAACACTTGTAAAATCTGCCCCCACCCTGCACTTACCTAATAATTAACTTAAACACTAGTAGCCTGCGGCGTAGGCTGGTCTCCAGTCCTCAAACACCAGAGTAAAGAATCTACTACCAGCAAACTTCAGGACGCACCTGTCGGAAAACCTTCTCTAATGCAAACTCTGGTTGATTGCAACTTCGTGTTAACGAAGTCCTGGCTGGACAAACGAGGGTATTTAGTTCCAACTAGCTTGTGAAAAGGAGACAAATGACTGGAGTCTAACTCAATTATTTACGGTCTGTTATCGCAGCAGCTTCATTTCACAAATCTGAGGCAGCTCTTGGACAGCTCAAAGGCAACTAACGGGCTCTCACAGATGCAAATAATCGCTCTAGGTGTTCCTGTGTCTCATGAGGAAGGGGGTGGTGGTGGCATGTGGCAGAGCCCACACCCCCGACAGCTGGGATCCGAGTACTGGTGACTCCTCTTCTAGCTAATGCACAGCCTTTGAGGCAGCCGTGGATGGCTGCGGCCCTTGGCTGTGCCACCAGTATGGGGGATCCCGACTTCCTGGTGCAGGGCTGTGTGGCTCACGGATGACTGTGATGGGCACCTGGGGCAACACCAGATGCGAGTGAGTGAACAATATTGTTTAAGGCAAAGTCAGCATCTGCATTGTTTGATGCCAATTAGCTGCCAACTTCTCTGCCTCAAGATGCTGAAATTTCCTACCGTTTTAAGAGATGAAGTGGCTGGGACTGGGGAGTGGGGGCCGACGTAGTAGCAAAGCCCCTTGCTGAGGATTGAGAAATTGTGCTGGAATGAGAGGCCTTTGTGAAAGGCACCGGCCAGCGGGAGGAGAGCTGCAACTTTCCGGCTCTGGGCGTCAGCTGTCTTTTGCACCATCAGGGCGCTAGCTTATTTATGAAGGACAGGCGCAATAGTGCTGGAAACACTGGTATTTATTAAGGTCCTAAAATTGTACAAGTCACACAGCTATTTATCATAACTTATTCTGTTTGTTTCTTTTTGGTAATGGCTAATGTAACAGTTGATCCAGAAGCTTCCGAGGGAGAGGGAGGTTGTCACAGAGTTTAGAGCTTGTGGCCACGGGCAGAGGGAAGAGGCCGGCTGCTTACACCGGCTCTGGCTTCCCCAGAACAGGCTGCGTGAATAAAAGGGCTTCCGACAACACCAGGCTGTGGGCTGCCTTCTCATTTGTCTGTGTGCCGGGGTCTTTGGCGTTTGTGGAGATTTCCCCACTTGAGTACTTTTTCAAGAGATTGAGAGTCTTGTCAGCGCTGACTGGATTACAGAAGCCGTTTCATGTGGGAGAGCAGATGGGGTGGACAGGCCCTTGCTGAGTCCCTCAGATAAACCTCAAAAGCAAACACACTCCCTCTCTTTCTTTCTTTTTTTTTTTTTAAACAAAAACATCATTCTGTGACCTCCAGTTAATGAAAGCTAATTGCACACAAACCCAATTCTGCAACTTGGGTGGAACGGGTATGCTCACAGGACAGACGGTTCCCCTGGCTTCACTGAACATCACCAGCCTCATGTTCTTGGAGTCCTTCCAACTGTGATCAGTTAACAACCTCCCACACCAAGGTATGCCCTTCAGGGCTGGCTCACACCAACTCCAAGATGCAAGGGGCAGCGGATAGCGGGCGGAGACCCACTGTGTGGGCTTCCTGCTAGGAGACCCAGTGGGTAGAGGCCAGTGTGCCAGTCACTGCTAAAGGATACAGTCAGGCCAATGAGAGGAACCCACCAGGGAGCTCCTGGGGGCAGAACACCCCGGGCCAGAGTGTCTAAGAAGGGCTGGGGAAACTGCACAAAGCCCCATGGGGGGCCATCCTTACACCCCTGCATGTTAGAAGTCTGAATGCTGCCCATCAGCTGTCAGCTGTGAGAGAGGAAGATACACAAGGTAGGGCAAGATCCTGCACATTGCAATGCCTTTGTTTGAAAAGCAGAGGGGAGGCTGCTAGCCCTTGGGAATTTTTGCTCGGCTTCTTCAGATGGCAACTTTCACAGGGCAGAAGGGGTATCTGACTTGGCCAAAGGAGAGGGGAGGCGGGGCAGGGACACAGGTGGCAGAGGGACTGAAACTCAGGCTGAGGCCTGTGACTCCTAGCTCATGCTGCCCACACTTGCGACCCTGTGGCCACAGAGCAAGGGACCTGCAGGGGACCCAGGCGCTGTACAGACATGAGAACGAGTTTATTAGGGAAGGGTACTGTGTTCAAGCTGCCGATGAGGGCCTTTCCCAGTTACAGTACTAGACACCTGGTAGTTCCAGAGGCTTGGATTTCAATTAATCCCGAAACCCAATGTACACCACGAGGGAACAGCTTCTAGATGGGCATGGAGGTCATGGCCACTGCTTTCGGCTGTCCTCAGAAACAGGTCCTCGGCCCGAGCCCAAAACCAGGTGGGATGGAGGCAATGTCCACACAAGACATGGCTTCAAGTCAGCGAGCTGCCTGGGTGGGCCGTTCACATCTCAACAAACAGGTGATGTGAGAGGGCCCGGCAGGCATGGGGCGGCCCGGCACCAGGTCCACAGGGAGCTTACCAGATCTTGGGGCTGGCGGCTGCTGGCTTCTGGCACGCACAGGAGGAGTGGTCACCGGAGGGGGAGGAGGTTAAGGCCATCCCCCGCAGGCCCACGCAGCCAGCTCTGCAGAGTCCCCGTCTGGCAGCAAGGAGGGCTGCTCAGGGTTCCCACGGGGGGCTCCGCCTCCCATCCACTTCGGTCTCCACATGATACAGGACATCAGCCAAGGTGTGCTCCACCACGGCGCCCCAGCCCATGTCGCTCATCTGCGGGAGGAAGGGGAGCGCGTCAGCCAAGTGAGCCCGGCTGGCCACAGGGAGGATGGGGCGCAGCGGCAGCAGGGGCGGGCCGGGGCTACTCACGGGGCGGTACGCCAGATCTTTCGGAGGATACTTGAAGCACGGCCCAAAGTTAATGGAAACCTGGCACAGAATTGATCCAATTAGACATGAAAAACCACAGAAGGACAGGAAAAAGGTTATCTGAAGTTCAGGCCTCGCTCATAGTGACATTCAAGGTCCCACGAGAAAGGCATACAGTGCTATTGCTGCAAGTGGCCAACAGCCTCGGGCCGGTGCTCATTTGTACCTAGAGACCAAGACTCTGTCACTGGTGCCTACTCACAGAAATTCTCAGAATAATATTTAGAAAAGAACAATCAATGGAAACAAGTTACGTGAACGTCACACACATCCCCTACCAATTAATGCACACCACGTGAAGCCTTCATAAAGCTCATGGGAACAGTGCCTCGGGAAGCAACTGTACCCGGAACTCCAGATTTACCAACACTAATTTTTAAAAGGATGTCTTCATTTGAGAATCAGAGTTGCAGAGAGCAGGAAGAGCGGCAGTCACAGCCAAGCCGGGCCAGGCTGAAGCCCAGAGCTTCATCTGGGTCTCTCGTGTGAGCGCCAGGGGTACCCTTCCATTGCTTTCCCAGGCTGTCAGCAGGGAACTGGATGGGAAGTGGAGCAACCAGGATACAAAACTGGCACTCATACGGGATGCTGGTCTTGCAGGTTGGTGGCTGCACCCACTATGCTGGCTCCAACTTCCACTTTCAATGAACTTTCCAAAGTAACCGTGTCCCGACTTTATACACTTCATCCAGGGTGGCTGGCATTCCCCACCAAATCCAAGGGGTGGATGGTGCATGCTAACGGAACCAATCGCATCCACTGTAAACATGCTACAATCCCCACGAGGCTCTGGCCCTAACAAATGCATTCCCCATGGCACCGTGAGTCTCTTCCAGTCCTGACTTGGCAAGTGACTCAGCAGCCCAGACACCTAGCTCCTGCAAGTTCTTGATTCACAGGTGAACCTGGATACGTACCGTGCAGCTCTTGTACAGTGAGATGGCTGGAAAGTAAACCCCCTCAAAGATGTCTTTGTAAGCCACACCTTGATTGGCACCATTTTTATAAAATATAATCTGAAACAAAAACCATGGTTGCACTTCAGATATGTCAACACAAAAGAACAAGCAAGCAAAAATCACCCACTTGAAGACAACTTTCCATGTGCCTCTGTGACAACACTGCATTCCAGGAATAACCCAATAGATGCTGCATATTGATGATATCTTTAATATAATTTTATTTGTTTTAAACGCAGAGGGAGGTCTTCCTTTCCCTGCATCATTTCTTTTAAATATTTATATTATTTCTATTTAGAAGTTAGAAAGGGGATGGTCCACGAGCCGGCTCATTCCCTCGATGCCTGCAGAGGCCAGCGGTGCTAGGCCAGTTAGAGCTGGGAGCCAGGCACTGACTCTGGCAGGAGCTACTCCTCAGGTCCTGTGCGATAGGCAGGTGGCCTGGAGCAGGCCCTCTGCTGCAAGGGATGCAGGTGGCCCAGGTCGTGACAGACCGCTGGGCCACACACCACCTCAGGCTCTCACATACCACTCCCCAGGAGACGGGACCTCGGTCCCAGTGCCACATGAGTGGCAGGAACTCAGTGGTGACCTGGCGGCCCTTTTGTGGCCTTTGCCCCTCTCCAGGGCACGACTGCTGCTTCCTCCCTGCAAGTTCTTTCAGGGTAGCCAGTCCTCTCTCATAAACACCCTGTCCGCTCCCGGCCACTCCACACCCATGCAGAGTATTCCGATAACACTCCCTGCCCTTTCCAACGGAAGCTATCTCCCCCTGCCCCCTGCCCTTGTTTGTATTCCTGGCTGTATCACCCCTTGACAGTGTTTTTTCCTGCACGCTTCTGTATGCCTGCCCACGGAGGTTGAAGAGGTTAACGGCCACATGCTGTCAGCTCAGAATTTTCCTCTCCCAGGCCCTCGCGGCTTGGGTATGGACAGATGGCTGCCACACACCCGGGCCAGGCAGGAGAGCAGGGTGCTGGAGGGAGCTGGGCACAAGGCCACTTTCTGTGGTGCTGCCTGCACTGGCCTTCCGAGTGCTGCTGGCGGGACATGTGTCCCACATGGTGTGCAGGAGGCCAGTGCAGGGACAGACAGGGACCCCCGAGCACAGAGCAACACTTACCTCACTGTGGGGGGTCTGCTTCAGGCTCTTCTCGGCTTTATCCACGAAGTCTTTTTCCTCAAAATACAAGTAACTCTTGAACTTGATCAAAGCCTTGAAAATTGAGGAGGAGTGGGGAAAGGCACATTGATACAGAAGCTACACCACCATGGCTAAGGGAGAGGGGAAGCTGGTCCCGGGCAAATAGTGCCGAGCCCTGTCTGCCCAGCACTTTCATTTGTGGCTGACTCTGCTGGACTCAGTGCCATGTGCTCCTTTGGAAGGGCCACACTCACGGCGCACTGCAGACAAAGCCCCCAGAGGGCAGACCTGTGTGGTCCTCAGTTTGCCATGCTCTCAGGAGAGAGGCTGGCCGATGGACTCATGCCTCTCCGGGTGGCTGTGCTGGAAGAGCAGATCCACCAAGCCTGAGATCTGTCCCACAGGGATGCTTCGGGGCCAGGTTCATGTCCCTCACCAGGTGGTCCCTGCACCATCCCTCCACAAGAATCAAGATACTGCGGTCCCTGCCTAAAGCACAACACACACCTCAGGGGGACCCAGCCCAGAGTAAATCTATACTCAGTCATTTGATTTCTACTTACAGGCACCAAAGAGATCCAAAGGAGAGTTTAACAAACAACACTGGAATAAGTGGATATTCTTATGGAAAAAAGTAAAACTTTGGGGTTTAAGGCTGGTGCCCAAAGGTGTTTTTTTTAAATTCGCAGAAATAAATATACTTATAAAAGCCCATCACACAGCAGCAAGTGCAGGCTCAGTCCAGCTGTGCTGTCGAGAGGTGGGACTCTGGGGGTGGCAAGGGGAGTCTGTGTTGTGGGCTGGAGCTGGATGGCTCCTCATGGTGGCTCAGGATGGAGAGGTCCCTGGATGGGCAGGTCGCTCTCTGCTTCCAGGCTCTTTGGCACACAAACTCTGCCACTGCCTGCTCACACCCTCATCAGACGCCAGCCCCATGGGATCACGGGGGTGGGACTGTGAGCCTCCCAAACCAAGCTGAAGTATTTTCTCCCTCGCAAGGAGCTTTGCTCTAGGGCTTCGTTCCAGTGACGAGCAGCTGACTCTGGCCCTCAGTCCCTTCACAGGACGGTGGATACACGCATGGCCCCTTCACACAATGAAATAGAACAGTACTACAGAATACAAAGGAACAAATCAGAGACATTCAACAGCATGGATAAGTCCCAAAAGCATTCTGCCCAACCGTTAGAACAGGTACAAGACTATCTGTCACATACATCTGTTTAAAGTTCAGGAACAGCAAGAAACTAAGATATGATGAGCAGAAAAATTCAAACACTGCTTGTCTCTGTGGGCTGGGGTGGGAAGCTGACCGGAAAGGGCTTGAGAAACCACCCTGGGGACGAGGGCGACACTCTGTCTCAGTAATGACCTAGGTCAGACAAGGGGACATGCACCTGGGGCAGGTGACCGATCAGCAGGAGAATCTAGGTGAGGGGTATTCAGGAACTGACTCTTTACATTCCTCATCTTTGTTGTAGCAGCTGAAACCTTTCCTGATCCAAGGTTGGGAGATAGTCAACTGTGGGTCACCACAGGATGCGCACCGGGCCACGGGAAGGACTCAACTCACCTTATCTTTGTACGTGTCGGGCAATGACTTGGCTGTGTCCGTGTCTTCGGGAAGGTTGATATAAAACCCCAGCACATCCCCCTGTCCGTAGCCCGAGGAGTAGTGTTTGCCGATGGACTGATGGAACTTGGTTCCCTTTTTGCTTCGCCAAGAATAGCTGAATTTATCATAACCTAAGGGAGCCTGAAGGTTGCCTGTCCCAATAAAGAGATACACAGGAAGTCGGAGGATTGCAGGACAACTCTGATTTGCCGAAGGAAAAACATTCTATCCCTTCTTAGGTATTTTTTAATGAATTCTGTAAAACTGCTTACAAACTACTTCTTGCAAGGAAAGATTGTAAGCATACTCTAGGAGCTACCAAGAGCCAGGCACCAGGGACCTTATTTGGCGCTGCACCCGATCCCCACCCCAGGTGTGAAGCCCTGGCTAGCCAGTCCATTGGCTGTTGGCCACTGCGATGCCCACCTCACTAAGGGGCCAGCTTCTTACCTAGCGGCTGAGACCAACCCAGCCTGGAAGCAGTGTCGGGCGGCATCTCATCCACAGTGATTTCGAAGTACCAGGCGCCCTTCCGCACTCCGTGAGAGGCTCGCACCATGGAGTAGCCCTTCTCTCCAACCACAGTCAGCCGGTCATCAGAGATCTTCAACTGGGGAGCTGCCATGAGGGTCACAACAGAAGACGCCTGTGACTCAGTGGGGGCCCCTGTGACAGCTGCCACCAAAAGCCCAACTCGTTACACTCCAGTGAAAATGCACAAAACACTCAGCAACAGTGCTGGGTTCAGGTGTCTGCAACAGCAGCTCAGGAACTTCTTTCTTTCCATTTCTACTTTATTTGAAAGGCAGAGAGATGCACACGGAGAGATCTTCCATCTGCTGGTTCACTCCCCAGATGCCATCACCAGCCAAGAATGTAATTCAAGGAGAGGCAAGGACTAGCTGTGACCCACCACCTGCTGCCTCCCGAGCGTGCATTAGTGGGAAATGACAGCAGGGGCAGAGCTGCAACTCACGGGCACATACGCACATATTCTAAGTGGCAAAAAAAAAATTTTAAGGTTTATTATTTTTATTGCAAAGTCGGATATACAGAGGGGAAGAGACAGAGAGGAAGATCTTCATCCAATGATTCACTCCCTAAGTGACCGCAACAGATGGAGCTGAGCAGATACAAAGTCAGTATCCAGGAACTTCTTCCAGGTCTCCCACGCGGGTGCAGGGTCCCAAGGCTTTGGGCCGTCCTCGACTGCTCTCCCAGGCCACAAGCAGACAGCTGGATGGGAAGTGAGGCGGCTGGGACTAGAACCAGTGCCCATACGGTATCCCGGCGCGTTCAAGGCAATGACTTTAGTTGCTAGCCCACTGTACTGGGCCCTCCAAGTGGCATTTTACCCGAGGCACATCAAAACGGCCTAATTTCAGACTCTAAGCCTCCTTGTATGCTCTTCTGTTTCTGTAAATGTCAACACATTACATCACATATGATCTTCAAAGTAAGCCGATTACCCCATTGCTGCTACTTCTTAACCGTGTTGGATTTGGAACATTATCCAGTGTTAATAGGATATGAAGTGGCTTACCTCCTCACAAAACACTTAGTTACAAAAGGGAAAAAGGGGCCCGACATGACGGCTCAATGGCTAAATCCTCACCTTGCAAGCAGCAGGATCCCATATGCATACCAATTCATGTCCCAGCAGCCCCGCTTTCCACGCAGCTCTCTGTTTATGGCCCGGGAAAGCAGTCGAGGACGGCCCAAAGCCTTGGGACCCTGCACCCATGTGGGAGACCTGGAAGAAGCTCCTGCGTTCTAGCTTCAGATCAGCTCAGCTTTGGCCACTGAAGCTGTTTCGGCAGTAAAGCAGCAGATGCAAAATCTGTTTCTAAATCTGATCTGCCTTTTCAATAAAAATAAATTAAAAGATAAATCTCCTCTTTTCAAAAAGGAGAGAAGTAACTATGGCGCACATCCCGACAGTTGGAGAAGCTCAGAAGCCGTCACAGTGGTGAAATGACCCAAGCAGCACCTCCAAGGGGACAGAGGAAAACCATGCGTGAGCATGCATGGTCAGCGTGTAGCAGAGCATCAGCTGCTGGCGCACCTGCCCAAGAGGCAGGACACAGCTCACAATGAACTCCAGGAGCCTGAACACAGAGCTGCTCAACAAGACAACTGTGTATGATTTTCTTTAAGAGCATCAAGGTTAGCAAGGTCGGATGCAGACTCAGGAAGACGTAGGAGCCCCAACAATGAGATGATGCAGCCGAACTCTTTCCCACATTAAGCTTCGTGGAAAGACCTCAGGGCAAACGGCAGCAATGAATGCTCACGTGCTGGCTTTGTAAGCACAGAGCTTCAAAAATTACCACCAAGTTCTTTGTGCCTTTTCAGTCAGTGTCCACTGAGTGTGGCCTGGACTTGGCGACACACCTCTGACACAAACAAGTTGAGGTGGGCAGTCCAGCTCAGAGAACAGGCCATAACAGGACACTGCCCATCCCAGCTGTCTCTCATTCCTTGCACGATGAGTCAGCAGACATGGAGGAGGATGAGCACGGGGGCCTGGCGTGTGAGTCACCTGGGCCACAGATCCTGCAGCTCCAGTCACTCCTGGCCACGGTGGTCAGAGGGGCTTGAGCACAACCTCCGGAGATCCCAAATAAGCCACTCCCATATTCCTTCTTGGTAAGGCAGAGATCATAAACACGTGTGGTTTACACTGCTAAGCATAAAGGCAATTGGGTATGCAGGGGTTTATAAGGAAAGATTTGAAGTTCTCCAAGGTGACAGGTCATCATGTTGGATAATGGTTTGGGAAGAAAAGTCTCACTTCCGGACCTGGCTTGGTGGCCTAGCAGCTAAAGTCCTCGTGTTGCATGCACTGGGATCCCATATGGGCACTGGTTCTATTCCCGATGGCCCTGCTTCCCATCCAGCTCTCTGCTTGTGGCCTGGGAAAGCAGTCGAGGATGGCCGAAAGCCTTGGGACCCTGCACCCATGTGGGAGACCTGGGAGAGGCTCCGGATAAAGTTGTGGTCACTTGGGGAGTGAATCATTGGATGAAGATCTTCCTCTCTGTCTCTCTTACTCTCTGCACATAAGCCTTTCCAATAAAAATAAAAACTTAAAAACAACAACAAAGCAAAATTCTCATTTCCTAACCCCTGAGATCACTTGCGTGGCCAATACCTACGACCCAAGTATGCTCAGCACCACCTAACATCCACCACTCCGCAGGGTCACCGCATCTCACACTGCCTAGCTGGGGGCAGGTGTTTGCCTTAGGGGTTAAACACTGCCGGGGACAGCCACATCGCAGACTGACTGCCTACTGGTCCAGGTCCAGCTTCCTGTGAAGGGATGCCCTGAACACATGGCATCAGGGCTCATGTACTTGGGCTCCTGCCCAAGAGATCTCAGAGATCTGAATCGAGCCCCAGTATCCTGACTTGGACCTGATCCACCTCCAGCTGGAGCAGGGACGAGAAATGAATCAGACGGGATACCATCTGCCCTGTCTCAGCCTATAGAAACAAACAAAATTAAAACAACACACATTAGCATGATAGCTTTTAGTGGAAATCCAAGAAATAATGGATTTACAAATACAAGGAATCTCTAGATCTGATTGGGTCTAATTTGATCTGATTCTGAGACTGTTCTTAGTGATACACATGAGGCAGAGTGACACGGAGAGGTAAAGAGAACTGTTTTAATCTCCCAGGGAAGTGGCATGGTGCCCAAGGGTTTGGACCAACCTCTGCCGACTTCTAGGTGCATCAGCAGGAAGCCCGAGCAGAAGCCGAGTGGCAGGCACTCCAGCATGGGACACTAGCGCCAAAAGCAGAAGCTTCTCTCTGCCACCATGCTGGTGCCAAGCAGGATATCTTAAACAACATGGAAATCTGAATACCGACCAGACATTACATAATTAACAGATTACTAAATTAGGGAAGTAAACAATACAACGGTATGTCTGACAATCTTTTAAGAGGGGCTGCAGTGCGGTGGCCTAACAGCTAAGGTCCTCGCCTTGAACGCACCGACATCCCATATGGGCGCGGGTTCTAGTCCACCTTGCTTCCATCCAGCTCTCTGCTTATGGCCTGGGAGGGCAGTGGATGATGGCCCAAAGCCTTGGGACCCTGCGTGGGAGACTCAGAGGAAGTTCCTGGCTCCTGGCTTCAGATCAGCGCAGCACCAGCCATTGAAGTCACTTGGGGAGTGAATCATCGGACAGAGGATCTTTCTATGTGTCTCTCCTCTCTGTACATCTGACTTTGCAATAAAAATAAACATTAAAAAAAATAATAATAAGAGGTGCTGCTGCCATGGCCTAGTTGGCTACACTCCAACTGCAGCACTGCCATTCCTCACGTGGGCATTAGTGTCCCAGCTGCTTGGCTTCTGATCCAGCTCCCCGTTTACGAGCTGGGAAAGCTTGGACCTCCACACCTACTTGGGAGACTACTGGTTCTTGGCTATCCCAGCTCCACCATTGTAGACATTTGGGATGTTAACCAAAGGTTGGAAAACTTGTTTCTCCTTCTCACTGTAGCTCTGTTTTTCAAATAAAAATAAAATCTTCAATAAACAATCAATCTTGGAGCCAGCACAGTGGTCCAGCACACTAATTCCCTGTCCTGTGGCACTGGCATTGCATATGGACACCAGTCCCAGTCTCTCCACTCTGATCCATCTCTCTGTGGTGGCCTGGGAGGGCAGTGGAGGATGATTCGAACCCTTGGGTCCCTGTAGCTAGGAGGGAGACCTGGAAGAAGCTGGGTGGCTCCCATGTTTGGATTGGCTTAGCTCTGGCCATTGCAGCCATTTGGATAGTGAATCAGCAGACAGAAGATCTCTCTCTAACTTTCCTTTTCTCTCTGTAAAAAGTCTGCTTTTCAAATAGAGATAAAGAAATCTTAAAAACAAAACAAAACAAAACAAAACAAAACTTTGCTGGAGTTATGGGAATTGACGGGTAGTAATGCAAGCTGCCTCAGAGGCCTATATCCCATTTAGGAGTGTCAGTTAAAACCCCAGCTAACTCCACTTCAGATCCAGCTTCTTGTAAATGTATCCAGGAAGGCAGCACACGATGGTCCAAGGCCCTGGGTTTCTGTGGAGACCCCGATGCAGTTCTGAGCTCCCAGTTATCACCTGGCACTGCCCCGGCTATTGTAGGCATTTCAGGGAGTGAATTGCTGTACGGAGAATCTTTCAAATAAAACAATAATTTTAAAAAGCTCATGGAAAAATATAGTCAAAAGTAAGATTACTTAAAAAATTGGGGAGCATAGTGGCTCACATTCTTGCTCCCCTGCCTCTGAATTCCTGCTTACGCGCACCCTGGGAGGTGGCAGAGAATGAGCCAAGCGCCAGGGTCCTTGCCGCATTGGGAGGCCCAGCCTGGGCTTCACGCACCAACTTCCCCGTGGCCCAAGCCAGCTGTTGAGGGCATCTGGAGAGTGATCAGTGGATGGAAGATCTCTCTCCCCTGGTCTCTCCCTTTGAAATGCGACAGGAGTTTTGGTAACTGTATTGTGGTTGAATAGGAGCTATCCTCAAGAGAAGTTCTATTAGTTTTACTGTATGCTTAAAATCAGTTCAGGGGCCAGTGCTGTTTATCAATATGTGGGTTAAGCTCCATCTGCAGCACCAGCATTCCATAGGGGCAGTTCGCAGCCTTGCAGCTCCCCTCTGATCCAGCTCCCTTCTAATGCACCTTGTAAAGAAGCAGTAGATAGCCAATTGTAAATCTGCCTTTCAAATATAAAGAACAAAAACAACAAACAAAAACACGTGCACGCACCCAAACACACAGGCTAGTATCTACAGGAGACAACTCCTGCACATTCTGGGTTAATCTGTTATGGAAGACCAGGATGTATATTCAATTCTAGATCCAACCATGCTGCTGACAGCAGAGCAGCACAGGTCCATACACTCACCAATACCTTACATACCTCGATCATGGAGGGCTAACAAAACTCGCTCATACAAGCAGGCTCTATAGAGGTCTCCAGGAATAGGCTTTCCTGCCCAGCAGTCAAGTTCAAGCTTCTCGGGGTCAGGGGCGTGGGGGTCAGGCTCAGCTAAGATGTACCGATAACCATCTTTATTAAACGGGTGCTCCAAGGGATAGCCGTGGGGGGGAAGGCGCTGAGCAGAAAACAAAGGGTCACTGTGGAAAGGAAAAAGGACAATCAGGACACTATAAAGCCCTGCCCCCGCTTTTGCTAGAAGCTGACTCATTGGGTTTCCTGCTTACACATAAGCAAAGGCAAAGAAAATGCTTTCCATGCTACAGAGGCCCCATGCTGCCCTCTGCAGGTGTAACAGGGAATGACAAGGAACAGCTTCCTTGGGCAAGGAGGGTTTTGGTCTGCAGGGAGACATGGAGTCCTTGGGGCAGGGGCTGCTCGCTCCAGGGCCTTCAGCATGCACTGAGGTCTGCAGAATCGAGCCAGTGCTTCATATTAGGTTATCGCAGATGGGACAAGGGGCCCGTGGGTGGTCTCTGCTCGTGTCCACAGAGGCAGGAGATACAGCAGGACTGGCACTCTCAGAGGTGTCAGTCTGCTAGTGGGTCTGCCAGTGGGAGGGGAGCAAGCAGAGTGGTGGGGCAGAAAGCTGAGCTCAAGCCCTGGCTTCCTTCCCTCCCCTGGCGTCTAGAAGCATTCTCCAGAGGCTGCTGCTCCAAGGTCTCTTTCTAGAGCTACCTTGTCTAAAGGGCTCAAAGCTAGGGGAGGAGGGAAGAAGCATCTTTTAAACCCCAATTCCCTAAGGCTTTTCGCAGGGCCAGACCCCTCCCCACCTGCGGGCCTTCTTGGTGGTCCCAGTGGTGCCTCCATCCTGCTGTTTGCGCTTAGCTCCTCGTCCTTTTCCGCTGCTGCCCGCTGCGATGCCCCCTTTGAAGAGAAGGTGGCACAGCATCATCAGTGGGTGAGAACAGAGCCCCTCGGGGGGAGCACAGTCCACGTGCATTTGTGTGGCATCGCGGGAGCACCCCCTGCCTCAAAGCAGGTGGGATTCCACTCCGGATGTGACGGGGCCCCCCGCCGAGCGTCTCCGGCCAGAGGCTCAGCTACAGCCCTGCGGATCGTCCTGTCCCGGCTGCACCCCTCCTTTCTCAATCACAGCTGCTAGTACAAGGTAGGGATGTGACACAAATGCATCTTCGTTCGCTCAGACTGCCAAACACCCACAGCTAAAACGAACACAGGCAGCTGTGTGGAACTTGCTTAGACCGACCCCGCCAACGCTCACTGGCTGGAGCTACGTGGCGAGTCTGCACACAGAGCTACAGAGCCCGCGGAAGCACGTGACTCGAGTACGGAACAAGACAAAGGTACATCCAACGTGGGTAAACAGAAAGAACTCTAAAGGTGTTTCTCTCCAGTGCTGTTGGACACCCGTCCTAGCTGGACGGGATTGAAGAAGGAAGGTTTGAAGTTTAGAAAGCCGCGGGCAGGGCCGCACTCACTCATCGATACCATCTGGATCGGTACCGTGCTGAGGCATGACATTTAGTTAAGACTGATTTGGCGTGGGAATTCAGAGAACGTAGTAGCAACAGGGAAGTCACATTTCATACAGAGAAATTTAAGCTTCGCCTTGTGGCCACAGGGAGCCCTCCCCTGTGTGGTTTTCAATGAGGTACGTTGCAATTTTGGTCCAGGTCTACTGGTTTCTCTCAAATAGTTCTGTTTTTCCCCCTTCCAGAAAATGTCCCTGAACTGCAGGAAAACACCTTTGTAGAAACCACTGCATAGAGTAGTACGTCTCGATTAGGGGCAAGCTTGGGGAGTGTCAGCAGTGTTGCTGCAACGAAACGGATCCAAACATGGAGGCGATCATATTCTGCATACCCAGGGCCAGCTGAGCGCAGAAGCTCCTTGTACAAACACATCACATGTTAGCCCTACTCCTCAGAGGTGGCTTAAGCCATTGCACCGTAAGCATCTCTCTAGTTTTGAGTTCGTGATAAAAGCACGGCTACATCTTCGTTATTGCCATTTAATTCTATCTGAAAGCAACACTGAGGTGACCGCTGGCCGGGTTAGGCAGAATATGACAACATATAAGCCTTTAACTGCTAACAGTAAACCGGAACTACTGCTTCAGAAGTGCTGCTGCCACCATTTCCACAATGCTTAAAATGACTCGGTTTTAGCTTCTACCACAACGCAGCAAGAAGCATTTTCCAAAGCACAAAAATACTTAAGTCTGAGAGGCTGAAAGAAGACAGAGGAGGAATGCACCTCCCAAAATGGCTCCACCTGGAAGAACAGAAGTGGCACCATGTATTGGTCAGGCTTTAACAACCACAGGGGAGGAACATGGCGTGGCGAGACGAGCCACAGTCAGCTGCTCCCGCCCGCCCAAGGACCCCCAACAGCCGGGAGCAGCAGACCTCTAAGGTGCTGCCACCCCGACAAGCTAGGGATGCCACGAGCCAGAGGAACAGAAGGCTCGCCCTTTCAAGTCTCACCACGTCACCATCCCCCCCCACCCACTGATGGGCTCCCAGAGAAACAGATGCTCACACCTGAGGTGAGCAAGTGCAGGTGTCAGGGCACGAGCAACTGGGAGACGGACACAGGAAGTCGGTCAGTCATGTGAGCATTGAATGATGGGAAGACAGTGGAGAGTGACTGACTTGTTCTGAACTAAGCAAGGAGGATACACAGGGGGAATCTGAATGCACAGTGGGTCTAACCTTAACACTGCACCTTGTTTCACAATAAACCTGCCTCACTCAAGATCAAACAAACAAAAAGTTCTCCCGCATTTCCATCCGTCAAAGACCTCAACAGTTCCTCAAAGTTGGCTTACAGACTTTAAAGCTCTGTAGCAAATATCAAGGATAAGGGTCAATCCTAAGCAAGCCCAAGTTTTGGTCCACTTGTAGGTAGCAGCTTCCAAGTGTCTGAGCAAGCAGACGCTGTGACACTCACCGTTCAGGTTCCCGCTGGCGGACACAGCGCTGCTTTGCTTCTGGTTGTCATAGGCCGGGCCAATGTTACTAAGATCCTGGCAGGAGAAAGATGTCATTAAAAAGGGAGCCTATGGAAGCATGGCCATCTGGCAATGCTCAGAAACCAAGGGGAATTCTCACAGAATGAGAATGGAATCCAAGGACCCAAGCAGTCAATGCTCACGGGGTCCCAGACCCGCACGCTGCAGAGGCCAAGGATGAGGGCTGCAGCCAGTCAAGGATGGTGGGCAACAAACAGGAACGGACCACTCAACCTGAAGAGGACACCTGAGCTCCCCTCCACAGGAAGCCAGCTCTCCCTGTCCTCACCCCCCCCCCAAAGGGGGGGCCAGCTCTCAGTTTCTGAGAGACAGAGATGGGGATCTCCAGGAGGAAGTCTCCAACGATCCAAGCTTGCCGAGGAAACACTTAAACGCACAGCTGCAAGACTGGACCATGTGAGTGGCCAAGCGTGGTCCCACCAAATGGGAGCTCTTCTTCCTGTTAGGCCAGAAGTAGGACGCAGACTCTTCCACAACAAAGAATGCAGCTAAGGGCAAAATGTGTGCCTGGAAATGAGCTGGCATTGTCTTATGTGTTACAGATGAGGAAATTAAAGCTACAAATCAGAACAATGATTTGCACAGGTTTGGGACATTCAGGGCAGGGGTGAGGGATGTTTGGTTCCTTGAAACCATTTGGTCTGGCTGTACTAAGGTAACTGAAGGAGGGACTCAAAATGCAGACGATAACTGTGTCTGGCCTGTGAGGGATGCTAGAAATTACAACAGCTCCTAACAGACAAACCCTTTCTTCATCTTAGGTTTAGGGGAAGGACCAGACGTGAAACCAAAACTCCAGGCTCCTACACACGGTGACAGCCACTAACTGGGAGTCCCCGTGGGTAAAAGACCACCAGACAAGGCACATGAACATACCTGATCCAAAAGCCCAAATTTGGGGTAATCTTCTTCAGGGTCCTTACTCCCCGGGTCAGGGTGTTCTTTTACCAGAAACACATCTCTTTCTTTACTCTAAAACAGAAACCTCTTTTCAGATTGAGAGTTCATAGTTACAGGCACACAATGGGTGACTATCACTAACTACAATGGGGAGTTCCCACACAGTGCTGTTTTTCCCCAAGGAGAAAACTTCCACGTAACCATCAGCCAGTCCAAGACGCAGAGACCTTGGGGAGCACCCAGGGCCTTCACAGTCCTCCCTACCCCACCCTGAAGAGATGACAGCACTGGGACCACCTTCTTCCTCAGCTGCTCAAATTCTAAGAGTTCTTTTTCATAACCAAAAAAAACCAGTCTCTAATTTCAGTGCAAAATCATATTTCTAAACATGCAGTAGACAGAGGCTTCATCGTCTAAAATCATTGTTGTGATACTTACTTTCAAAGTCAGATCGAAAGAAAGGAGAGACAAAGAGAGACAAGAGATCTTCCATCCACCGATTCACTCCCCCAGATGACCCTAACAGCCAGAGCTGGGCCAGCCTGAAGGCAAAAGCCAAGTGCTTCATCCAGATCTCCCATTTGGGTGCAGGGGCCAGAGCACTTGGGTCATTTTCCAATGCTTTACAGAGGCCATCAGCAGGGAGCTGGCTCTGAAGTGGAACAGCAGGACAGGAAGCATGTGAAGCATGTGATTTAGCATGTGAAAAACAGTAAGTTTGGGCCCGGTTCATGTCCCAGCTGCTCAACTTCCCATCCAGCTCTTGTTCTGTGGCCTGGGAAAGCAGCAGAGGATGGCCCAAGGCCTTGGGACTCTGCACCCGCATGAGAGACCCAGAAGAAGCTCCTGGCTTTTGATCCGCTCAGCTCCGGCCATCGAGGACACTTGGGCAGTGAGCCAGTGGATGAAGATCCTTCTCTCTTCTCTGTAAATCTGCCTTGCCAAAAAACAACAACAACGAGTATGTTTGCAATTAATTAAATACGACACTCATAAATTTAATATTATGTTATTCTCATTTTCCTGGACATCACATTATTATTTCCAAGTAAGATGAAATAGCATTTAACTGCTGCAAATGACACTGGCTTTCTAAACGTCAGTTCTAATGAACTGCAGTCTACTTACCATGGTCTTCACAATGTTATTGGGCCAAGTCATTTTCCCAGGTCTCTGTCTGGTTGTCATGCACTCCCAGTATTTATCAATAAATGGTATAATATCCTAATTTTGAAAATAGAAGACATGAAATCACTTATAAGTGCTTTCAAAGTTACACTCAAAGAAAACAGCAATATTTTCTAAGACCTTGTAATACTAAAAAGAAAAACCATGTTTAGTCTTTGAATTGCTTGATGGCATACAAATAATGGCTACAGTATGGGACTTTCAAACAAGTCTACACATAAAAGCAAACAAACAAGTCCACAGGCTTATGACTGAGTTGGAATGGAAAGTGGCTGTCAACCGGAAGCCAACTCCCAAATTCTCTCCCGAGCTGGTCTCCACCTGCTGGAGAGCCCTCTGCCTGGGCCTCTCTGCAGGCAGCCTGCCCTGTGACTGAGGTGGATCTTCCCTCAGCAATGCGCTCTGCACATTTCCTTTCCTGTTCTTCACCCCTATCAGTTAACATGAAAGCCAGGGTTGGGGGCAGGCTGAGCAGGGCTTGTCTACAGCACCCACCAGCAAGAGTTGGGACTTGGGGGTGGTTGGGTTGGGCAGGGCGCCATCATGCGATGGCAAAGGCCAAGCTGGGGGACAGGATATGACAGGATAGGTCAGAGCAACCACTGGCACATGCAAACCTGTGGCTAGGAGCAGGCCCGGTGGAGGGGCTGGGCTGAGATTCCCACTGGGGAGCCTGAGAACTAGAACGGGGGCAGCGAAGTGGGATGGACATGGCTGCAGCATCCCTCAGCATGGGTGTGGAGCGAGTCTGGGGTGTGTCAGACTGGGCTAGGCTCCTGCACTCACTGGTGCTCCTGAGAGTCAGAGTGGGCGTAGGATGAGCTGGGCTAGGTCTCAGCACCCACTGAGCCATGCGAGAGCTGGGTCTGGGTCTGGGCCAGGTGGGACTGGGCTGTAGCACCCAATAGTATGAGCCAGAATGGGTGTGCGATGGTCAGGCAAGGTTGCTATAACTGCCAGGAAGTGGCAGTAAGTGGTAAATATGGCTAGGCCAAGAATCCACCAGTGTGTGAGATCTGGCACTGGAAGGTAACCCGATAGAGCTTGAAGAACGCCTCTGTCAGGACACAGTCCCTGCACATGAGCACAAGAACCAACTAAGAGCAAGTTACAGTACCTGCCGACACATGTGTGAATGAGGTCTGGTGTAGGCCAGGCTGGGCCAGTTCATAACACCCACTGGCAGATCTGAGAACCTGGATGGGTGCAGGACAGGCCAGGTTGGGCCCCATCAGCCAGTTCACACTAACTGGGCTGAGCATCAGACAGGGGTAGGTCTGGCAGAGTGAGGCTGCAACAGCCAGCAGCAAATGCTGTGGTGAGGCAGCCATGCCAGAGCTGCAGCACCCCAACAGCACTCATAAGACTCTGTGTCAGGGGGGACAAGCATGGTAGGGGGCTGTGGGGGCTCCAAATGGGCCATTGCTCCCACTGGTAGGGCGGGAAGTGGGACCTGGGGCAAACCAGGCTGAGCAGGGATATAATATCAACTGGTCTGCAGGTGAGCCGAGTTGTAGGGGAAGAGTCAGGCTGGGCTAAGCAACAATACCCACTGGTGCATGCCGAGTGTGTGTGGACAAGATAGCGCTGGGACACAGCATCCATTGGTTGCATATGGAACGGGGCTGGGGACAGAAGTGATGGCACGACTACAACCGTCACTATGTGTGCTGGCTGATGTGGGCGATGGACTGGTCTGGACCTCGCACTGGCTGGCATACACAGCAGTCAGGACTGGGACCACCTCAACTGGACCACAGACTCAAAACTCCAAACACGTTGAAAAAAAAAAATCACAGGATTTGTACTTCAACTTGACCTTTTCTTATTGCATAACAGAACGGGAAGGTACACTGTCCACAATGCAGTCTCAAAGTTTCGGAGAAAACAGACATGTGGGCCTGGCGACTAGTTCTTGCCTTGCACATGCTGGGATCCCACACGGGCGTGAGTTTTGCTCCACTTCCCATCAAGCTCCCTGCCTGTGGCCTGAGAAAGCAGTCAAGGAAGGACCAAAGTTTTGCGACCCTGTGCCCAGGTGGGAGACCCGAAAGAGGCTCCTGGCTCCAGACTGGTTTAGCTCCATCTGTTGTGGTCACTTGGGGAGTGAACCAGTGGACAGAAGACAATTTGCTTTCCCAAGAAAAATAAATCTTTTGAAAAGAATACAGATATGGGAAATTAAATGACATATACCAAAATGCTAGCTACTGATGAGACTAGGTGACAAATAAATGGACATTTACTACAGAAACGAAGTTTTCCCATTAGGTGTAAGAATTTTCAGAGCAGTAATTTTGCTGGAAGAAAATAAGAAAACTGTGGCATTTAATCACAACACTCCTTTAGTTATGGCACTTTTTTAAAAAAATTATTTTTATTAAAAGGCAGATTTCTTTTCATTTATTATTTTAGGTTACGGCACTTTTAACACAGGAAACAAGGCGAGCTTTCTGCTGAGGTCCTGGCTTATAAGATTAGATACAAAATTCTGTGCGCAAGGATCTTGACAAGCCAATCCAGACACTACCTGGCTTCTGACAGACTGGTGAGGCTTTTTCAAATTCTACAGCATTACAATCAATCTGCAACAGTATGTGTGGAAGGCTAGAAGCTAGGACTGGCAAGGAAGCTCTGGCCGAGAGAGGGACAGGACTTTCACAGGCAGGTGGACTGGCAGGAGGAACGCATCCTAGACCCTACTGCGCAGGCCATCAGGCTGAAACTCACTCTGCATGTTTGTCACATGCGCCAAGACTCAACAACTGGCTGGTAATCTACTTCTGAGCCTTGACTGTACTCACTTTGCTTTTCAGTTTAACAAATAAAGGATCATTCTTGATAAAAATCAAGTGGCCTCCTTTCTCCCTTGCAAAGACTGACAGGGATCTAAAGATCACAAAACAGGTTGAGCAGGTTCATCTCAGATCTGATTACTGTGGGGTAACTCTGTTACTGTTTTTTTTAACATTTACTTACTTGAGAGGCAGAGTGACAGAGACTGTGAGAAAGATATCTTGCACCTGTTTTTTCTCTCCCAGACGGCTTTAACAGCCAGTGGCTGGGATCAGTCAAGCTCAAGAACCAGGACTGCCGTCTGGGTCTCCCACATGGGTAGCAGCAGTTCAAGTGCGTGGGTCATCGCCGCTGTGTTTCCAGGCACAGCAGCAGGGAGCTGGGCTAGAAGGGGAGTAACAGGGACTCCAACCAGCACTTGGGTAGGAGGTGTTGGTGTTGCAACCAACTATAACCCACCGCGCCACAAAGCTGGCTTCTCTGTTTTCTTTTGTAAAGCCAGCCAAAACTATTGAACCGTCCACCCCCTGACAACGAAGGTGAGCACAGGACAGGAAATTGGCAAACCTTGTAAGGCAAGAGTAACACATTCACTACCCTACAGTCCTACAGCCCTAAACCCTGGGGGGAAGTACTTGTTCAATGGGATTCTCCAGCACAACTGCAAATGCATCTGTTCCATCTCTACCTTATCTTTGGAGAACATAGTTTTTGGGTGCTCATCCTGTGTTCGGGACTGCCAGGTGAGGTTGGCCAAAGCGCTAAGGCACATTTCCTTCAAGTCTACCAAAAACAAAATAGAAGAGAAGGTTTCTGTCACCAAAGGGACATTCAGAGCAACAGTCCACAGAATAACTGCAGTGTAGTCATTGTCCGATGTGAAACGGGCAGGGGCGATTGAGACCCAAAACCCACTGCAGTTCTGGCAGCTTCTAGGCAACCCATCTCCTGCTTCTGTAAGCCCACTTCCCTTTTTACCCAGTAGTCATTTTTAAAGTTTTGTTAATTTTATTTAAATATATATATTTTTTTCGGGCCTGGTGTAGTAGCCTAGCAGTGAAAGTTCTTGCATTGCATGCGCTTGGGGCACTGGTTCGTGTCCCAGCTGCTCCACTTCCCTTCCAGTTCCCTGTTTGTGGCCTGGAAAAGCAGTCAAGGATGGCCCAAATCTGACATTCCAATAAAATAAATCTTTCTTAAAAGGTTAACCATATATAAAATGTTTTACATATTTCCCTCCTCTGGCCTTGAAGCCCCCTCCCATCCACACACACACTAAGAGAGAGGGAGGTCTTTGACCTGGGTGACAAGCAGCCAAGGATCTGTGCCAGCACCTCCTACCTCCCAGGGTGCATGTCAGCAGGAAGCTGGTGCCGAAGCAGGGCAGCTGAGACTTGAACCAAGCACATGAGATGCCAGCACCCCAACAGGCAACTTGAGCTGCTTGCACCCAATGCCCAACCCGGCAATCATTTTCGAACGCTAAGTTGTTCTTACTTGCTTGTTTCCGGAGGAAATAGGTATTCCCACTGTGATGGCAAACATTGCAATGAAAACTGTAGTTGGTCATGAAAGGCAGACAGGATCTGTGGAAAAGTAGAACTGTACAAATCAGTCAGCTTTTTTTTAAGATTTAATCTTTAATTTTCTAAATTTATTCAAAGGCAGAGTTACAGCAAGAGAAGAGGGAGGGAGAAGGGTAAAATCAGAGGCAGAGAGGGATAGAAGGGTGGGGAGACAGCGACATTTTCCACCCACTGATTCACTCCCGAAACGGCCAGGCCAGAGCCAAACGCCAGGCGCCTTTTCCAGGTTTCCCACATGGCTGCTGGAGCCCAAGCACTTGGGCCATCTTCCACTGCTTTCTCAGACCCATTAACAGGGACCTGGATCAGAAGTAGAGCGGCTGGAACTTGAACCAGCACCCATATGGGATGCTGGCACTGCAGGCAGAGGCTCAACTTGGCTATTGCACAACAATGGCCTCAATGAACTGACTGAGACATCAACCAACAGTGCTGGGGTCCGTGTGATGGATGTGGAAGACAGGAAGGTGTGAAGAGTATCGTTCTATTGCAGGCAAGGCCGCAAGGAACTTCCCGCTGTGTGGCAAGGCCCGGCAGATGTCTCTACAACACCTGAATGCAGCTCTGCCTCCCTTTGCATGGACACCGGACAACCCCACTGAGAATTCTGTAATCTATTTAGGCATTGCCTGCCTCTGCGGAGTTACTGTTTAATATCAATAGGAACTTAGAAGCTAATGTTGCTGGTGCCGTTTTTAGCCAAAGAGCTATTATCGCTTTTAGGGCTGTATCCTGTGGCAATATGCTAATCAAGGGTGCTAACTCCCCTTTTGATCCTATGCTAATCAAGGGTGCTCTGTCTTCAGGTGTAGTGGAATCTATTCTTTCCCTCTTTCTTTGATCTTTTAGGTCCCTTCCTTCCTTGACTGTCTCAAGACCTAGCTGTAAAGTAATTGTGGTAGGAATGTGCTACTGACTGATATGCATCATCTATTGAAAACCTTTTCCTAGCCAGGCGCCAGGCACCAGGTGGTTAACATCCTAGCCTTAGGTGAAACAAATGGCAGAGTTATCTTTAGAAACACCCACTTGACCATGACATAAAAAGTCTGAGCCAGAGTTTGACTGATTTTGTATAAATAAAGCGGACAGCTTTTGTGCGTGGTCCATTATGATGATGAAGAGTTACTAGTGGCCCGTCTCTTTCTTTCTCTCTTTCTTTGCGCCTCATCCACGCACCCTTCGCGAGTTCCGAACTCAGCTGGAGCTGGACTCCGGCACAACAGGAAGCTGCTCCCCTCTGTGAAACTCAAATACTTAACATACCTTTAATCTCAAAATGTCATTAAACCAAAAGATGGACTACATTTTCACAAACAGCTGGAATTTTCTGCCAGCAAAAATTAGTAAGATGTAGCTATCCAGAGGACCAAACTGAGCACGGGGAAGGCTCTCACAGGCACCTTGTCCCAGGGTGTCATCCTTACCGGGCATCAGGAAGGCTCTCACAGGCACCTTGTCCCAGGGTGTCATCCTTACCAGGCATCAGGAAGGCTCTCACAGGCACCTTGTCCCAGGGTGTCATCCTCACCGGGCATCGGGAAGGCTCTCACAGGCACCTTGTCCCAGGGTGTCATCCTTACCGGGCATCGGGAAGGCTGTCATTGGCACCTTGTCCCAGTGTGTCATCCTTACCGGGCATCGGGAAGGCTCTCACAGGCACCCTGTCCCAGGGTGTCATCCTTACCGGGCATCAGGAAGGCTCTCACAGGCACCCTGTCCCAGTGTGTCATCCTTACTGAGCACCGGGAAGGCTCTCATGTCCCAGTGAGTGTGTCAACCTTACTGAGCGTCTGTGAAGAAGCCTGCCAGGCCAGCTGCAGAGACCAGGCAGCCCGAGACATGGCTCTCCAAGGTGCCAATAATGCTGAAACGCACAGAGGAGATGTAGGAAAGCCAGAGGGGTGAGCCATCACCCAAGATGACACCAGCGAGAGGCAAAAGCAGCACCTGCCCATTTCCAGGTGATCTGAGTCCAGGGGAGAGCAAAGGACTTAAGGAGGAACATGCCCCAATAGGAACTGGGGCTTTCATCCAGACACAGCTTACAAACAGGACACGGAAAGGTCAAGGGGTTTTGTGGACGACTGTGCTATGTGCACATGGGGATCTCACCAAAGGCACCCAAACTCAGAGCTGTGCTGAACCCCCTCCTGTTCTCCCGGCAGGCTATTTCCCAGCCTGTCCACCCCAGCAGTCTTCTGTCCTTTTAACGGTTATTTATTTATTTATTTTTAAAGATTTTTAAATTTTTATTGGAAAGGAGAGGAGAGAGAAAGAGGAAGATCTTCCATCCGCTGATCCACTCACCAAGTGGCCGCAACAGCTGGAGTTGCACCGACCTGAAGCCAGGATCCTGGAGCCTCATCTAGGTCTCCCACACAGGTGCAGGGTCCGGTTTGGGCCCTCTCCGGGACAGGCAAGTACATTCTTACCTTTAGGTTCCTGCGCTGGTCAGTCTAGATTAGCTAGGGAAGTTCTCTGCACATTCAAACGTTTTTTTTCCAACCAAGATCAATTTCTCAGCACTGACTTTCTTTTTGAAACTCTTCCTCAAGGGTTACCAGACATGTGCTAACTGAACTATTAGCATTTCTAAAACCCTCTAATTAACCAGGAAGCACATAACAAAGGGAAGCAGTTACAGCAGCCTGAGGGGCGGGCTTCCCTGCAGCTTTCTGAAATGGTGCCCTGGGGATGTAGCAGAGGACAGCCCCAGTGCACCCTGCCTCCGTTGGAGGAGAAAAAGCTCCTGGCTTTCAGTGAAGGGCCCAGGCATAGTGGCCAGCGAGGGAGTGAAACAGATGGAAGCTCCTGTGCAACTTCACCTTTCGAATCAATCTTTCAAAAAAAAAAATATTTCCTTACTACCCATTCCAGTGTAACAGGGTCATATTCAGAGATGGTCTTTGCTGCTAATTCCAAGTACACCACAGCCTGCCTGTAGTACAGCTATTCCCACAGGGAGCTAGTGTTTGCACCTGCCAGCCGTCGGACAATTTGCTGGAACAAGCAAACAGGTCTTCGTCTTATCAGGATGTTAAGTCAGTCACCAGAAAAGGCTCTTAACTCGAGACAGGTCTGGGAGCCTCATTTCTGTCCAGGGCCATCTGGATATTGCTGACAAAAGGATCAACTTCGGAATTCATCAGCTGGCCCCGGCGCAATGGCTTGGAGGCTAAATCCTCGCCTTGCACACACTGGTTCGTGTTCCAGCTGCTCCACTTCCCATCCAGCTCCCTGCTCAAGACTGGGAGAGCAGCAGAGGACGGCCCAAAGCCTTGGGACCCTGCACCCGCATGGAGGAAGCTCCTAGCTCCCGACTTCAGACCAGCCCAGCTGCAGCTACTATAGCCATTTAGGAAGTGGACCAGCAGATGGAAGATCTCTTTGTAAAACCTGCCTTTCCAATAAAAACACATCTTTAAAAAAAAAAAAAAAAAAAAACACTCTGCCATGGTCGTACTCAATTTCAAATGCCGCCTGCAGTTGTTGCTCCAACACTAAGCACTAACTTCTGCTGGCATACTTCCGAGGGCTGAGCACCCGGAGGTCTATTTTCTGCCAGAATCTTACAAGGTCGCCCGAACAAAACAAAGGAGCACTCACGAAGTGTCGATGCCGAAGGTGTCAGCCGTGAACCACTTGCTGCAGATCCCACACTGGAGCTCCACCTCTCCCAGCTGCCGGCAGTTCTCCTCGTCCACGGAGCCCGCCTGGGTATCCATCACCTCGGAGGGATCCCCGGCAGCCTCCTGCGGCGGCGGGGGCCATCAGAGAAGCCGAGTCAGTGCCCTGCCTGGCACCGCCGTGCCAGGCATCCAGAGGGGAGGGAAAATACTCACTAGTGTGTCTTTGCCATTCGCCGATTCCGACTCTAAGCCCCCGCTCACGTCCAAGTTGGCCTCCCTGATGAGGAAAACACAAGACCAAGAATTTGCAAGACAAAGCAGCCTCCAAGCGCCAACCCCCCATGCTGCTGAACTAAATTTCTTTTTTTTAAAGCTAAGTCTGTTTGCACAGTGGATGCTCAAGGTACTAAAGCAAGACCTATGCAACCAGAAGACACCCCCACGGGGACGCTCAAAGGGGCTCCCCAAGTGCAGTCTCCCTTGGCCCAGGAGGAGAGCGCCACAAACATGCCACCGGCTGCCCAGGGCTCACGGGGGCGGGGTGGGTGGGTGACACAGCCTCCTCGCAGCTCCCTTCCTCCAACAGCATGCAACCTGCTGCACCGGGCTCTTAAGGCAAGGGGGTAGGGGTGGGAGGGACAGTCTCTCGCACTTTCCTTCCTCCACTAGCACGCAATCTGCTGCCCCGGGCTCTCGGGGGTGGGGGTGTGGGGACAGCCTTCCCGCGGCTCCCTTCCTCCACCCGCTGCCCAGGGCTCGGAGGGGTGGACAGCCTCCCCCGCGGCTCCCTTCCTCCACCTTCCCCGCCCGGGGACTCCGGGTGCTGCGGCCACCCCGTGACAGACTCCCAGGGACCGGGGCGTGCACACCGGCCGGCGCCGGGAACGGTGCAGCATGGAGGCACGACCGCGGGAGGACGGCCGTTGGCCGCCGCCGTTCTCGGGTCCGAGGGCGCCCGAGACGGGGTCGGTCCTGCCTTCCCGCCCTGCGCGGCCGCGCGGGCCGCCTCACCCGCTCTCGGCCTCCCCGGCGCTCGGCTCCACGGCAGGAGCGGCCGAAGGCCCCTCTGCAGCCGGGGCGGCCACCGCCGGCGCCCCGGCCGCCCCCGGCTTCGTCTCCCCGTCCTCTGCCGCCGGGGCATTCGCAGGCGCCGCGGGGCCCGGGCCGGAACCCGCTCCCGGGCTAGGTCCGCTTCCCGCCGCCGCCATGCCTGCCGCCTACCCGCGCACTTCCCGCGAGAGCACCCGCTCGCTCTCGCGCGAGTTGCTGCCTGGCCGCCCGCGTCTTCAATGGGTATCCGGCCTTAGTGGGGCCCAGCGCTCGTGGAGGAACAGGCGTGGAGGAACAGGCGCTTCGGGCGCGCCCCGCTTTAAGGCCGGGAGGAGGGCGGGGCCTGGCGGCACCTGGGGTACCTGGTGCAGGTGGAGTACCTGGGTGCAGGTGGAAGTCGCAGGTGGGGTACCTGGGTGCAGGTGGAGGACGCACGTGGGGTACCTGGGTGCAGGTGGGGTACCTGGGTGCAAATGGAGGACGCACGTGGGGCACCTGGGTGCAGGTGGAGGACGCAGGCGGGTTACCTGGGTGCAAATGGAGGACGCAGGTGGGGTGTCTGGGTGCAAGTGGGGTACCTGGTGCAGGTGGAGGACGCTGGACGCTCAGATGGCTTTGTTCTAGAGTGGACGGCGCACGAAGGGGGTTTCTTGGCCCAGTGTAGTGAAGTAGGCAGCGGGTTCAGGGTCGTGAGCTCGGAAGCCACACCCCCACCCCCACCTAGGTGTTCCCTCCTGCCCACCTGTGACGGTCACCTATCATCACCTGGAACCTGAGAGGGGGCGGTATTGCATTGCTGCGTAACCACTCCCTTTCCAAGCCCCTATAAAGGCCCTTGATAGGGAGGGGCTCACTCTCTTGGTGGCCTTCTGGCATTGCTCTTGCACTCCAGCTCCTGGCCTCCCCAGTATCTGACTCATCTCTGGCTTCCCGAGGACAGGTAGCCCCTGAGCATGGCCCCTGTGTGTCTGTATTCCTCACCCTCCGTTCACTGCTCGGGCGGGACAGTAGATAGCAATGCTAAGATGCTTTGTATTTCTAATTTGCATATTTTCAAGAATTCCCGGAGAGGTGAGGCCTAGCAGTAGTGGAATGTGGGCAGAGAAGCCAGGGAACGGTGAATGTCCGCAGCTTTGTACGTGTGTCCAGGTTGTTCACTGTATTTGTCTTAGGATAACTTATTTTTCTGGACACAGGTCTTTAGCTTAAGGGAAGGACTTCAGGATAATGACAGTTTGTTCCTCTTGGGGTTCTGTTTATATGGATTTGTGATTTGCTGCACCAAGCTTGGTTAATAAAGACTCCTTCATGCACCCTAGACTTGTCTGGTGTATCTCGCTCGCACCCTGCAACAGTGGACATCACTGGCTTGGCTGCTTCCATTCCCGTTACCTGTTGGAAATGTGTGAGGAGCGGCTGGAGAATCAACTCTGAAGAATGATGGGAGTGACGCCACCTTAGACCCGGTGCCGTGGCAGACACCTGCTGCTGAGATTTTGCTTCTGCAAGTTTTGTGTTCTTTAGAAGTTTCGTAAGCTGGTTCCTCCCCAGTCCACTTTTACCCCATCCCTTGTAACCCTGTACTCCAAGCCGGACCCGCGCTCCTGCAAGTCCCTTTCCACCTTCTCCAGTGCCCTCTCGGGGGAATCCAGCAACGCAGTAACACGTGTTCTGGCGGGCTTAAAAAAGGCGGCAATCTCACACAAAGTGATAAATTATGGCAAACTCTTAGAGTTTTTCAGGAAAAAGAGGAAAGCCCATTGGCCTTCCTTAACCGCCTTACACAAGCCCTCCTTCGATACACCAACATAGATCCAGAAACGCCCGAGGGAAGGCAACTCCTGATGTCTCATTTCTTTTCCCAGAGTGCGCCAGATATCCAAAATAAACTCAGAAAGCTGGAGAAGGGCCTTCTGACCCCGCACACTGAGATTCTAAAGGTGGCTTTTCAGGTCTATCATGGAAGGGATACAAGAGCCCAAAAACAACTCTTAAAGTTGTTAACCCAAGCCGTCCCGGCCTCAAGGAAATCGGAGGGCCAAAGAGGCTCCACTCCAACGGGGAAGTCCACAAGTTCTCCCCGCAGTCCTTGCTTCAAATGTGGCCAGGCAGGACATTGGGCTAGAGAATGCCCTAACCCCCGGCCACCTCCCGGACCCTGCCCCAAATGTCATCAGAGGGGACACTGGGGAGTTGACTGTCCTTGATCACACAGGGGCCTGAGGCCATCGACTGACACCCCTCATGCTCTGACCTACTGAGGAGGCCCGGGGACCGCGCCCCTGGCCACTGTCATCACATCGGAGGAGCCTCAGGTCACCATGTTGAAGGATGGCAGGCCCGTGTCCTTCCTACTAGACAACCAGGAGTTCTGGGGACACATCTCCATAGTCTGAGTGGAAGGAACTCCCCCAAAAAACCTCTCTAGATTCCCTCTAGCCATGTGTTTTTTAATTTGTAAACCTTCTCATATGTTTTTTTAATCATGCCCCACTGCCTAGTTCCCCTTCTGGGGAGAGACCTAGGTAAGCTAGGAGCGTCCGTTTCACTTGCCTCCGGCTCGCCTTCGCTCCGTCTCATCCTCAATTTATAAAATATGCCAACACCTGAGGTAAGCCAGTGCCCCCTTCCCTGGTAGACCCTGCAGTTTGGGATACCCAAAATGCCTCTGTCACGTTCCATCTCTTACTAGTTCAAATTCAGCTCAAAGACTCCCCACGCTTCCCTATCCAGGCCGGGTACCCCTTTCACTGCAAAGTTTTAAAGGTCTCAAACCTATTCCCTTCTGACCTGAAAAGGGACTTTGTATGCCCTCTAGCGGGGAGCAAAGGGCATGTACTATGGCAGTAACAAAGCCCAGTGCAACTTGGATTCGTTCAAGGCCTTTGATGTACTCAGCTGTTCCCGTACAGCCTGTTGTCCAGCATCTTAGACCTCAAAGATGCCTTTTTCACAAGGCCTCTACGCCCCGAACCCCTTGACGTGGATGGATCCAGACTCGCATTTCTCCACCCTTTTCAAGACTTGCCCCCCTTTTTCTGGCCAATTCCTCACTTGGGATGTGTTGACCCTCACTTTTTCTTTATCCAGTCGGTGGATGACTTTTGCAGTCCTTCACCAGTGCACCAGAAGCGATAGTGCCTTTCTGTTCAACTCTAGCCTGCTGGGGCTCCGCAGGCTCACCCTGTAAAGTTCAGTTATCCGCACCCCAAGTAACATACCTGGGATTCCTCCTCACTCCTTCCCAAAAGTCAATCACTCTAAGTAGGAAACACTTAATTTCATCTCTTCCCCTCACCCACCACCAAAGAACAAATTGTCTCATTTCTAGGAATGATGGGTTTCCTCGACTTCTGGATTCCCAATTATTCCCTTCTGGTTTTCCCCCTATATAATGCCGCACCCAGCCCTCTCCCCAAGTCCCTCCTAACTCCCATTTGTGCCCTCCCATTTAGGAAACTGCAACAACCTGCAGCACTCCATCCACCTGACCAAGCCTTTGCCACTATATGTTACTGACAAATCTGCCTTTGCTCCGGGAACTTTAGGACACTAACTTGGACCATCTTTGGCCTGTCGCCCACTTGTCAAAAGAACTAGCCTTCACTGTCTTGGGTTGGGCTCCTTGCCTTTGCACCCTGGCTGGCAACAGCAGCATTGCTTAAGAGTCCAAAAAACTTAACTTTTGGCTGCCCGACAGCTAACCCATTCCCTCAGCTGCATGTTTCTCCAGGAGGAACATTGCTTGTACAATAATGAGTTGGGCGTCATTGAACAAAATACCAGAACCTTATCAGACATCAAGGCTCATTTCTAATAGCCTCAAACCAATAACAATCCATGGTTTTCCTGGACTCAGACCCCTTTGTTGTCCCGGCTTTCCCTTCTCCTTTAACACTACTCTTCCTGGGACTTTTTCTGGCCCCTTCCCTTGACTTTCAAAAACTGATTCATACTCAAATGCCAAAAAATTCTAATTAAACTTTCAATCAGCTTTTATAAAGGATATCAGCCTCTACAACCCTCTCATCCCTCCCCCACTACTGCAAGGCCACCACCAAGAGAGTACTGCGCCCAGAGTCAGCCCGAAGAAGCTACAGAAGACGAGACAGCGCCCCTTTTCCCTTACATAAAACAAAAGGGAGGAATGGGAGGAGCGGATCAAGAACTGACTCTGAAGAGGGACAGAACCAGTGCCATCCGAGACCTGCTTAGCTTTTGCTTCTGCAAGTTCTACATTCTTGAGAAGTTTGCTAAGCCAGTTTCTGGTCCCTAGCAGGGAAGTCTCCCAAAAAGGAAACTTCCTGTTCCCTCCCCAGTCCTTCTCACCCCATGGCCCTGACGGTCAATCCCTTGTGTCCCTGTACTGTCAATACCTGCCCCTTTGCTATAAGAGCATGCTCCCTCTTGCACTATCTTTCTCTTTGTTCCCTGCAGCCATCTTTCTCAGCTTCAATAAAGAGATACGATGTGACTCACTGCTTCTGGTGTGTGTGGCGAAAATTCCTAACTATGTCTTAATTTGTTTATTTTTATTGCAAAGTCAGATATACAGAGAGGAAGATCTTTGGTCCGATGATTCATTCC